GAATGTTTCTTTTTACAAATAAATCAAACTTCTACTCTCCTTACTGCCCTTTCAAGCCCTCCTAATATGTATTTTTTTCATCGCAGTAAGGACAGTAGAAGTTTGTTTTATTTGTGAAAATAAATATTCACGTTTTGGTTTTTTGATTTGTATTATTTATAATTGTTGTGTTTTAACTTTAAAAGCACACAAAAATATAATAAACTTGAATTTGTTTATTCAAGTCTCAAAAAACAAAGCTTTACATATAGAACAAATAATAATGAAAAAGAAGAAAGAAACATTTTAGGAAAAGCAAAAAAAAAAAAAAGTACTGGTCAAAAAGAAACATTTAAAATCACAGATTAATATCTTCAACACTTCCCCTTAATCAGAATACAAATGTCCCTCATACCCAGTAGATATTTGAAGATTCGTTTAACTGTTTCCCAGTCATATATTATTGGTGCTGCAAGTTTTTGAGAAACTTTATTCAGTGCAAAAGTGATATCGGGTCTTGTTAAGCAGCTCAGATGCATCAGACTACCAATGGCTTCACGAAAGGGAACATTTTCTAAAATCTCTGCTTCCCCAGGAACAGTAGAATTATCAGTTGGTTTTCCCACTTTATTCGCTTGAGACATATTGAATTTCTCAAGAATTCTTTTTATATATGCCTTTTGATTTATAAAGATTGACCCATCCGGTTGCCGCTCTATCTCAATACCCAAAAAGTAATTTAATGGTTCACTTGTGATCTTAAATGAAAACATTAGTTCATCAAGAAATTCTTTGATTTATTGTTCATTTGTACCAGCAATGATTCCATCATCAACATATATGGCAATAATGAGTAGTTGATCATTTGTTTTTCTGAAGAATAAACAGGGGTCAGCTGTACTTTCCTTCAGACATCTTTCTTTCATGAAGTTGACTATTTTCTGATTCCAGCATCTTGGTGACTGTTTAAGTCCATAGAGACTTTTCTTCAATTTCCATACAAGATCTGTTCCATTGTTGAATCCTTCAGGTTGTTTGATATAAATTTGATCTTGTAAGTCTCCATAGAGAAAGGCTGTCTTTATGTCAAACTGTACCAATTTTAAGTCTTCATTAGCAGCAATTGCTAAAAGAGTTCTTATGGTGTCATGTCTTGCCACAGGACTAAATGTTTCTTCATAATCTATACCCTTCTTTTGTACAAACCCTTTTGCCACCAGTCTTGCCTTATATCTTGTAATCTCTCCTTTAGAATTCAATTTGGTCTTTAATACCCATTTACAATCAATTGGTTTTTGGCCAGGTGGTAATGTTGTGCATTCGAATACATCATTTTCCGTTAACGAATTCATTTCTTCATTCATTGCTTCTTTCCAAAATTGTGCATTTGGAGAATCCATTGCTTCTTTGTATGTCTTGGGTTCAAGAACTTCTGCAATATTTATTTCAGCATCAATATACCTTTGAGGTTTTGATATATTTGATCGATCTCTTAGATTGTATACGTCTGATGTTTGAACATTGCTTTCAATTTTCTCAATATCTTGAGTATCATTTTGTTCACCAATCTGATTACTTGAAAGTTCCTTATTTCTCTTTTCAATATCAAGGCTAAATGTTGGTATAGTTTCCTTGAATATTACATCCCTACTTGTGACAACTTTGTTTGAGTTCGGCATCCAGATTCGATACCCATCCTTGTTACTGCAATAACCAACTAAAATACCTTTTTCGCTTTTGGCATCTAACTTTCTTCTCTTTTCATCAGGCACATGAACAAGACATTCAGTTCCAAATATTCGAAAATGATCAACTGCTGGTTTTTTATCAAACCATAGTTCATAAGGTGTCTTTCCCTCAATTTGTGTTGGTCCTGTTCTATTCAAAACATATGTAGCAGTGTTAACTGCCTCTGCCCACAGCTTTAGGCTCATATTTTTGGCATATATCATTGAACGAGCTGCTTCTATTAAAGTCCTGTTTTCTCTTTCCGCTGAACCATTCTGTTGTGGAGTATATGGCATTGTGATCCTATGATTAATACCATACTTGTTTGTAATTTTTGAGGTTTCTTTATTTACAAACTCCTTTCCTCCATCTGTGAGAATTCCTTTCACTATATGTCCAGTAGTCTTTGTTTCCAAGAGAAATTATTCTAGCTTTTCAATGAATTGTGACTTTTCTTTTAGGAAATACACTGACCGGTATTTTGTAAAATCATCTTTGAAACACACAAAGTATCTCATCCCTCCTTTCGAAACCTCCTGAATAGGGCCACATACATCTACATGAATCAAGTTTCCAGGTTGAGTAGAAGCATATTGTTCTCTTGATCCAAAACTCAGCCTATGTTGTTTGCCATAAATGCATGCCTCGCAAGGTTCATTGTCCATGACTGCATCTATTCCTTGTTCTTTAAGCCATTTTTGAACATGTCTTTTATTTTGATGTCCAAATCTTTCATGCCATAGTTGTAGCATATTGACATTTTGGGTTTTGGCTAAATTGACTTCTGCAGCATTTTCAGGTTTGATACTTGTTATTAACATACCATACAAGCCTCCTGGTAGTCTTTTCCCTTCTACAATAACTTCTCCAGTTGTTGTCTTAAAAAGTTTACAACATTTTTTATCCATTTTCATTTCAAACCCTTTATCCAATGTGGACTGTAATGACATCACATTACGACTGAAATTGGGAACATACCATACATCAGTTAGGTAGTGAGTTTGCCATTTACCTTTTACACAAGTTTCAATTGTTATAGTTCCACTTCCATAAGCTATCAATTTTTCATTACTTCCAACTTTAACAGTCTGTTGGGTAGGAAAATCCTTATAAGAAGTATAAAAACTTGCATTTCTTGTAATGTGGTTAGTAGCTCCTGAGTCACCAATCCAAATGTCTTCATCTTGTTCATTGAATCTTTCACTGATTAAACTTTCACTTAATTTTGAATTAAGTTTTAATTTAGTTTCATCCTTTTCTTTATCCTTTAGTTTCTTCTGTTTTGCATACCTACAATCTTTGGCCAAGTGTCTTTTTCTATGACAAAAGTAACATTCTCTTGTTTCTCTTGTTTTCTGATATTTTTCATTACTTTTGGTAACTTTTCCTTTCATATTTTGCTTATTTTCATATGCATTTGCCATTAGTGCTGTCGAACTTGATGTGCTGCATTCATCTCGCTGTTGAATTCTTATTTCGAGTAACCGAAGCCTTTGTGTGAGATTGTCTACAGAACGTTCTTCTTTAGACACTGATTCCCAAACACTTTTAAAATCAAAATATTCATCATGCAAGGTGTTTATGATTCTGCATATCAGCATGGATTCTAGCAATTTAAAATTTTCTTGTTTAGTAAGTTCATTTTGCATATCATTCCATAAACTTTCTAGTTTTGAAATGTGCTTTGAAATATCATCTGTAGGATCCTTCTTAAAATTAAAGAATTGATTATAGAGCATGTCTAATCTTTGACCAGAGCTTTGCTCATAGACACTTAACAATTTGTCCCACATATCTTTAGCACTTGAGCAGGGAATGATTAGTTGACTCACATCAGGCATCACACTTGTTGTAAATAACAATTGGGATATTGCATCTTCACCTTCCCATTTTACATATGCCTCTTTTTCTTCATTTGTTTCTTGTTTTATTGGCTTTCTATATGTTCCATCAACAACGCCTATTACTTTGTTTATTGTTAAAAGCAATTTTATATTTTTCTTATATTCTGGCCAGTTTATTAATCCTTCCAATTTGGGAATATTCATACCCATTTTAATATTATCCATTCCAGCCATTACTAATATAAATTTTAATGTGATAAACAAAATAGAATTCTTTTTAGGCTTACCGTTGCTTCGTTTTTGTTATATTTCGCAGTGAATGCGTGGTTGGGTCCATAACCTGTTGTGTTTTAACTTTAAAAGCACACAAAAATATAATAAACTTGAATTTGTTTATTCAAGTCTCAAAAAACAAAGCTTTACATATAGAACAAATAATAATGAAAAAGAAGAAAGAAACATTTTAGGAAAAGCAAAAAACAAAACAAAAGTACTGGTCAAAAAGAAACATTTAAAATCACAGATTAATATCTTCAACAATAATATATATAACATTTTAAAATATATTAAAAATCAATATTTTAATATTACCACAACAAAAAAATATATATAATACTAAGATCGAAGAATATTTGCACTAAATTTAAAACAAATTAATATTTTCTATATATTCTATATTATAATTACATTGTGTTACCAAAGAGAGAGAATAATTATAATAAAATTAAATGATTTAATTAAACCGCGACATTTAAATTAAACCAAACGATTCATTGGTAAAATGGCGTCTCGGTATTATTAAGCAGACGAAAATTGATTTAGGCTTAGTGCCAACTCCACACTTGTGGATCTGATAAAGTATGAAGAGTAAATAGTCAAGAAATCTTTGTTCTCTAATTAAACATTTTTTATTAACAGTGATAAATACATTTTCTTTAAATTGAGTTGACTACATTGAACGTATTATGGTAATCTGTTCTTTTGTTTGAAAAAAACTACTTAAAAGGCTTAATAAGACTAATTAGTTTTCAGATTTATTTGATATTTTAAGCTATTATTATAGGAATGGTACTTGTTATGTGAAAATATTGTTTAAAAAATAGATTTAGGTCATCTATTATTAGAGATTTGGGTGATTTTTTACTCCATTCAAATTTTGAACATTTAAGTACTATATAATTTTGTATTAGTTTTGTTTATATATGGTTATTTATATTTTTTATTATATTGATTGTGAAACGAAATTAATTTTTTAATAACTATTTTTTGAAAATGTGTTTAATTTTATATGTCGGAATTTATTGCATTTGAAAATGTTAAGTATATTACCCTTTTTAAGAACAAAAATATATATATAAAATACTTGTTGACTTTTTTTTTTTGTGCTTATACCTAATACACGTGGTACTGACCATGATAATCATGGTGGGTAGAAGAATGCGAGGTAATAGCCCACAGCTACACCTGGTGTTCCCAGGGGGTCACCTTCCCAAGTACTGACCGACATTACTTAACTTCAGTGATCGGATGACAACCAGTGTTTTCAATATGATATGGCCGTAGGCATTTCATTTTTAATTATACGTATTATATACACTGCGTGACATTGAAAATGGAACACCAAGAAATAGTGGCCAGAAAGTGATGAAACTCGGCAGACAGAGAGAGACAGGGACGAACAATAAGTGATTTTTATTTCAAAAGGATAGTCATAATACAGAGCGAGAACGGCGTCGGCTTAGTAGCAAGTAGGACCACCGCGGACGGCGATGCACGCAGCAACACGTCTAGGTAGAGAGCCAATCAGAGTACGGATGGCGTCCTGAGGGATGGCTCTCCATTCCCTCTCAACCATTTGCCACAGTTCGTCTTCTGAACGCGGCTGTGGCAAGGCATGCAAACGGCGTCCAATGATGTCTCAGACGTGCTCGATTGGTGAGAGATCAGGAGAGTACGGTGGCCAGGGAAGCATCTGTACATCTTGCAGAGCTTGTTGGCTAATGCGAGCAGTGTGCGGTCGGGCGTTATCCTGGGCATATAATAAAGGGCATTGGGTACCCCCTGAAGGTAGGGGAGTGTCACCGGTCGCAGCACATCATCAACGTATCGTTGGGCCGTCATAGTGCCCTGAATACGAAGTAAAGGTGACCTGGAATCATACGCGATTGCGCCCCAAACCATGATTCCACGTTGTCGCACGGTGGGGCGTTCCACAATTGCTGCCGGATTGGACCTTTCTCCACGTCGACGCCACACGCGTACACGGCGACTATCACTGGACAAGCAGAAACGCGACTCATCTGAGAACACGACCCTGTGCCATTCCGTCATCCACGTCGATCTAGCCCGGCACCATTCCAAACGTTGGCGCCTATTCGGTGGGGTCAATGGCAGTCTTCTTAGCGGACGGCATGAGTGCAAGCCATTAGCAACCAATCGACGGGAAATGGTTCTGGTCGAGATGGAATGATCTAGGGTGTCTTGCACATGTTGCAGGATGGCGGTACAAGTGGCTTGTGGGGCCGCCACTGCTTGTCGAAGGATACGCCGATCCACACGTGCTGACGTCACTCTGGTTGCACCGACATTTCTATAAATTGCCACATTTCCTTGTTCCAACCATCTTCTCCACAGTCGGTGCACCGTGGACGCACCAAGGTGTGTATCAGCTGCGATTTGACGTATGGACCAACCTGCCCTTTTCAGTCCGATCACCATGCCCCTCGTAAAAGCGTCTGTCTGCTTGAACTGCCTCCGTTTACGATGACCTGGCATTCTCTGTTATTACACGTGTCTTTTGACACAAGAACAAAATTTCTACAATGATTTTCCTTGAAGAAATAACGACACGAATACTGTCCTTTCTGCAAGTTCCTTCCCTTATATCTTACTCCATGTGCGCACGAGAGCTGCGCATTTTACATCATTTGCATAACTCGGTTAGGCGCGTCTACCCTGAAATTTGCATAATTTTCTGGCCACTATTTCTTGGTGTTCCATTTTCAATGTCACGCAGTGTAAAAAGCATTATAAATAGGTAATCCTACTTTTAAAAACGTTAAATATATAAAAAATAAAATATAAACAAAAATAAATCTTTAAATCTTGCATAAATATTTATAAATTAAAAAACGCCTATATATATTTTCACAATATATGATAATACATAAATTATCACATATATATTTTCATACATAGAAAAATATTCTAATAAAGATACAAATTTTTCTTATAAATATAAAAAAAAATCAATCGTCAAATAAATTATATGGAAAATAAATAGAAAAATAGAGAGAGAGAATATATAAATAAAAATATTTTTTAAATAAATAAATAAATATATCAATAACAAATACAAAAGGAACCAAACGAAAAAATTCAATAACGGCGTCATTTTGGCGGGGAATATAAATAACACCAAACGATAATAAATTGGCGCGAAAAGGATATATTCAGACGACACATAAATCTACCAGGGGTATATATATATAAACTAGGGAAGTTAATACTTGGTTAAATAAAGTTAAAAGGGTTAAGTTGGGGACCAATTTAGGAAATATTTATATAGTTAGATGAGGGTAAATTGCAAACTATTATCTTATCCTACTCATATGGATAAAAAGCCTTAGGCGTTTCATGGGACAATGAGGGACTTATTATGGTGTCGGGTAGCTATCCAGTCGCCATTTTGAATTTTCTTTTCACAGGCTTAAAATTTATGTGTGTCTTTTGGAAAAAAGTTTTAAATTTTCTTTGTGAATTTATCTCATTGTATTATATATATATATATGAAGTATCACTTTATTTTTTAAATTATGATAAATGTAATTTTATATTATTTAGAATTTATATAAAATATTAATGAAGTTTTTAACCCTTAATAATCGAAATTTTATTTGCACCAAAATGGAGGTAAGTGATGAGAGAGGAAAAAAAAAACTAAATAAAGCGCTTCTTTATTAGTCTACATATGGCAGAATATTTTTTAAAATCAATTAATATTATGGTTTTTATATTAAATTTTATTATTTTCGCAGAACTCATACGCACTTTATATTTTTAAAAATGAATACTTTTTCACTAATAAAGAACAAACATTCGTTAATTCGTTATGAATTAAGATAAAATTGTTAAAGGTAATTAAAATTATCACGATTTTTCACAATGAATTATTTTTTGGAGCTTGAAAAATATACACTCTTGGAGATCAAACTTAAGGAAGTAGTACCTTTCAGCATGTACATTGGGATTCAGACAATAACTCTGAAAGATATTACAGTGACCTTTATTGAAGACTTACAAACAAAACTTAAGGAAGTTGTATCTTTTAACATGTATATCGGGATTCAGACAATAACTCTGAAAGATATTACAGTGACCTATATTGAAGACTTACAAACAAAACTTAAGGAAGTTGTATCTTTTAACATGTATATCGGGATTCAGACAATAACTCTGAAAGATATTACAGTGACCTTTATTGAAGACTTACAAACAAAACTTAAGGAAGTTGTACTTTTCAGCATGTATATCGGGATTCAGACAATAACTCTGAAATATATTACAGTGACCTTTATTGAAGACTTACAAACAAAACTTAAGGAGTTTTCACCTTTTAGCTTGAATATCGGGATTCTGACAATAACTCTGAAAGATATTACAGTGACCTTTATTGAAGACTTACAAACAAAACTTAAGGAAGTTGTACCTTTTACCATGTATATCGGGATTTAGACAATAACTCTGAAAGATATTACAGTGACCTTTATAGAAGACTTACAAACAAAACTTAAGGAAGTTGTACTTCTTACCATGTATATCGGGATTGAGACAATAACTCTGAAAGATATTACAGTGACCTTTATTGAAGACTTACAAACAAAACTTAAGGAAGTTGTACCTTTTACAATGTATATCGGGATTTAGACAATAACTCTGAAAGATATTACAGTGACCTTTATTGAAGACTTACAAACAAAACTTAAGGAAGTTGTACCTTTTACCATGTATATCGGGATTTAGACAATAACTCTGAAAGATATTACAGTGACCTTTATAGAAGACTTACAAACAAAACTTAAGGAAGTTGTACTTCTTACCATGTATATCGGGATTGAGACAATAACTCTGAAAGATATTACAGTGACCTTTATTGAAGACTTACAAACAAAACTTAAGGAAGTTGTACCTTTTACAATGTATATCGGGATTTAGACAATAACTCTGAAAGATATTACAGTGACCTTTATTGAAGACTTACAAACAAAACTTAAGGAAGTTGTACCTTTCAGCATGTATTTTGGGATTGAGACAATAACTCTGAAAGATATTACAGTGACCTTTATTGAAGACATACAAACAAAACTTAAGGAGTTTTTACCTTTTAGCTTGAATATCGGGATTCTGACAATAACTCTGAAAGATATTACAGTGACCTTTATTGAAGACTTACAAACAAAACTTAAGGAAGTTGTATCTTTTAACATGTATATCGGGATTGAGACAATAACTCTGAAAGATATTACAGTGACCTTTATTGAAGACTTTCAAACAAACCTTAAGGAAGTTGTACCTTTCAGCATGTATATTGGGATTCAGACAATAACTCTGAAAGATATTACAGTGACCTTTATTGAAGACTTACAAACAAAACCTAAGGAAGTTGTACTTTTCAGCATGTATATTGGGATTCAGACAATAACTCTGAAAGATATTACAGTGACCTTTATTGAAGACTTACAAACAAAACTTAAGGAAGTTGTACTTTTCAGCATGTATATCGGGATTGAGACAATAACTCTGAAAGATATTACAGTGACCTTTATTGAAGACTTACAAACAAAACTTAAGGAAGTTGTACTTTTCAGCATGTATATCGGGATTCATACAATAACTAGTAAAGATATTACAGTGACCTTTATTGAAGACTTAAAACAAGCCTTAAGGAAGTTGTACCTTTCAGCATGTATATTGGGATTCAGACAATAACTCTGAAAGATATTACAGTGACCTTTATTGAAGACTTACAAACAAAACTTAAGGAAGTTGTACTTTTCAGCATGTATATCGGGATTCAGACAATAACTTTGAAAGATATTACAGTGACCTTTATTGAAGACTTACAAACACAAACCTTAAGAAATTGTACCTTTTAACATGTATATCGGGATTCAGACAATAACTCTGAAATACATTACAGTGACCTTTATTAAAGATACACGAGATAACCAAGTGTCTCTTTCTCCCTAAAAAAAGATGACCAGTGACATTAAAGACTTTCCACTTTATTTGAGTTTGTCTATGAGTGTATATATGTCATAAAATCACATGTAGAGAAATGTATCTATTAGAGATATGTAAATAAAGATAATTTGCATATGATGCATTAGCGCGCCATCTTTTATAAGAAGTTTTAACTATTTTTGAGACGTGTATGATTCTTTTTGAAATTAAACAATTTTACAGCCTTTTCTGCAATTTTAAATTAATGGGAGTGCTAGGCTCATCAGTGGTGAACCCTCCCAGCTGTTACGCCAGTTTAATCTACCTTGAAGATAACTG